TCAAACTCAAGACCCTCAAATGTCCAAGTCGGCGTCACTGTAGCCGTCGAACAAAATCCCTACAACTTATTCCTGAAGTTCGTCGATATCGTCCCACGCAATTTGGACTTAGCTCTTTTAATCCACGGATTTTGCAGTCTGTCAGCTTGGCACTTTTCATTCATGTCTAATCATAATAAAGAGACAAGAAAAATGGGGTCGCTCTGCTGCGATGGCACACGATGCTTTTGTTTACAGTCTAGCAATCATCTTTGACCTTTATGCATCTGCTTTACTGATTGGCTAAGAATGACATCACTACTAGTATTTCATCATAAAGGTCAAATCGTGACATTGCTTTCTTAACAGACTCGATGCTTATATGGATATCGCGGTGGACTTGAAATAGGAAGTTTTTTTTTTATCCAACGACAGAAGAATAGTTTTCATGACAGAAATGCAATAGCGGTGATAAAAGATGGTAAAAAAGTTGGCAGTCTTCGGCGTGACATTGCAAAATTGCTGGCCCCAGTTATGGATTCGCAAGCTGCTACCGCTACAAATATTTATAAAGCCAAAATAACGTGATTTCAACACTTCTCCCAGGTATGGGTTGCTACAATATTGCAACATTGTTTTCATTGTGGACGACGCTAAAGCCGAGCGAGTGCGACACTTGCTTAGCGTCTCTCCTTATACGATTTGCTTGAATCGTTTCTAAGGATGTACAAACCAAACGGCCGGCCCTTTTTAGGCACGACATATTTCAAAAAGAGAACTACCGTTTCTGCTTTTTGTTTTGTGTAGAAAAAGACCCTCTGGGCGTGTGCCCGGATATGACCTCAACTTCTTTATTGTGTCAAAAGTGGGGGGTGGGCGTTTGTCCAGGCATGGGCTCTTACCCTGATAAGTACGGTAAAATGTTCAACAATTCAAGCTCAATTTGACAAAATAAGACATGTGAAAGTTATACTGTATATGTCACTGTTACCTGTATCTTTTTCACATCGGCCACCTGGGAAACCAGGTTCACCAATATAGCCCTCAGCACACCTGTTATGTAAATTAGGATAGAAATCAACAGAAATCAGTAAAAGTACAAAGAAATTTAATAAGTGACTCTTAGTAGTTGCATTTCAACTGGGCAAATCTGTTAGGTACGACTACAACCTCACAAAACATATAAACCATCAAATTATGCAGATTATGCAGATTATGCAGTCCTATTAAATTAGGTTAGATTTGCATACAATAAACACTCAATGATTTCAAAAATTTATTTTTGTCCTTCAAGCTCAGTAACATAGAAATGTTTGTCAAAGGGATAAAACCTTCCAGTCTTCTCAAAATAAAATTGATGGAAAAGTTTGTTAACAGTTTGTCTACGTTTAATTCTGTGCAGCATATAATTTTAGCTAGCATGTTATTTTAGCTAATTTAGCTAATGTGTTCTGTATTAAAATGACTAATTTTCACTGTGTTTAAATTTCACTGATTTATCATTCAAGGCATATTCAGTGGGTTTTAAATTCACGGTTTTATCATTTAGATAATGTCAATATTTTATTAATTAATTAACTGTGTCCATCCTTAATTAAATATCTATTAAAGATCAATTAATTATGGAGATTTCCATGGCTACTGGTCACTGCTCATGTTCAGTATAGTTAGAAACATAATGACAAATTCACTGATAAGGCAGCTACTTACTGTCCGCAATCTCGGCCTGTGTAACCTTGACGACATGCCAGACAAGTTGGTAAGCCGTCGCTATCTAAGAAACAAGTTGAAGAAAATCTGAAGACAAAAAAAAACCAACTTGATTTAATATTGGAGTTATCAGTCCATTTCATTTCTATCTTGTGCTCCACTCTATCGAATGAAAAATACAGTGAGTTTAGCAATAGCGTACTGTCGTATTAATATATTCTCTAACAATGACGTATTGTGAATATCTGCGACATAGTCGTGGAATCTCGCCATTTATATTTACACATTCAGAACTTACTGTAAAATATTCAATTTTCATTTGAACAAATATTTGATTTATGGTATTTGTGAAGACAGAATTTCACAGAAGTCACTGAAAAATCATGAACCCCCCGAAAAATTCTCATCGTCACACGAAATTCCCCAATAATTGTCTCTCGCAAAACTGAAGCAGTTTACGATATATTTTAAAGCACAGACACAGTTACGATGCAAAGTGTAAACTATATACAAATTTAGTGCCACTTACTGGTTTGAGGGAATATCCAACGGGCAGGCACACTTACGACAATCTCCTGGTGTACCAGCGGTGGCATCACCATAGTAACCGTCTGCGCATTCATTACATCTCTCACCAACAGTATTGTGGTCACAACCCTGTTAAGAGATGGATGTAATCACTAAAGATTAGTTTATTATGACTGCGATCGGTGTTAGATCAATTTATAAATTTATAATAATATGTAACTGGTGTGATGAAGACTGCATAGACAATATTACAAAGACAATATTAAGAGAAGATAATTTATGCTAATGAATGAATCTGCATAGGATCAGGTTGTATTTTTTTTTTTTATATTTGCTACGTATGTATGTTGTTCCTACTAAGAATACGAGAACAACCTTGCTCATTTACATTCTGATCCACAATCAAAGCTTTCCATGCATGAATTGTGTTCTGTGATGTCATTGGTTAGAGCTAGTAACAGTTACATCATCATTTACATACCACCATACATGTATATATCAATATCTTTAGATTTACTAATGAAATATCCAAATGTAGAAGCCTACTCATAAATGCAAATACCCAGAATTCATTTTTCAATAAATTGTACTTCCAAGCAACATAAAGATATTGACTTGAAAAAAAAAGTAGAGGGTCACCAGTTTAATTTTCAAGAAAATGATTGTTGTATTTTACTAAATTGTGGACATTTTTGCAGTATTATAATGCTTTTCTATAAGTTTCTATGGCAGAGATATTATGCCATATCTCAATTTTTGAAAAATATTGAGACAAGTTTCTCAAATACAAACACTGTAACACACAAAAAAATGCTTTTTTGTGGTGCCTGATACAATAGCATCATGATTTTACATGTTTTTTTTGTTGAGCGATTTATGACCAACTTTCTCAAAAAGAGTAAGTACGAGTAAGCATCTACCTTAAGTGAAGAATATATAAAATGAGGGCGTACAACGACGTGATATGCACACAATTGAAAAAGGCACGTGAATTGCTGATAATCACAAAATTCCAAAAAAGAACTACATCTCTAGAAAATTCTAATGCAAATTAGTGATCTTGTGAAAGAACTGATTTGCGTCAGACCAGTTTTCTCAATTTATATTTGTAATCATTTAATACATGCAGTTTGCATTTTCTAAAATACAGTAAAAATCCCATTTTTTTTCAATGTTTAGTCTGAGATTGGAAGGTGAAAATCTTCTAATATTCATTATGTTTTTGAATAAATAAAAATAATAAAACAATGTTTTTGACATGTCTTACCACACAAGCTCCAGTGTCAGGGTCACACTCGGTAGAGTGTCCATTGCAGGCACATTTCACACACAATCCAAGATACAGACCACCACCAGTGCGTGAATATCCAGGGGAACATGACTGTCAAATAGAATACAATCACATTGGATGGGCAGGGACCAGTAACCAGTTCTACATGCGTCACTACAACAGCGTTTTGGTCAACAGTGCAGCAGCATCTCATCCAAAAAACTACAACAAGCAACATGTTTCTGTTGCCAGTCGCTAGTAAATATTCAGTCAAGGAAATGTACTTCAATACTTAATATGCGCATATTTGATTAAATATACTATGTCAGTCATCATTTTATAACATTCGACAAATCAAAAACATTTAATCTAATTTAATGCAATATTTATGTAGAACAAAAAACATAGTATTTTCTCATTATATGGATAATGTATCTGTTTTCTCATCCACTCTATGTGTCTTTCTGTAAGTGTACTCAGTACTTTTTATCCCCACAAAAGACAGAATAAGAAGATGAAGAAGAAATAAACAAACCTGACAAGACAATCCCATGTATCCTTCTGGACAGCTACATTGTTCAACTTCTACGGCTCTTCTCTTACCATTATCACGAGGGACTGTGAAAAAAAAACACATAGTTGCCAAAAAAGGTTTTTAATTATAATATTTACATTTACATGAATATTTTGCCAAATTCTTCACAATATAATGCGAATAGCGCTATTTACATGAAGACTAAATATTTCAGTAGCAGATGTACAATAATCATATCACATGGCAGCCAATTTTGCCATTTGCATTTGCCTACTCGCTTCCCCACATATTCATGACGAATTGTAGGTATTGCATAGTTGCAGAGGAAATGAAAGCGAGGCTTGGAATCAAATTAGTCAGCAATGTCCTCCACATGATAAAAGTGAATTGTACTTACTAGCAGTCTCCATGGCCAGATCACCGAGTGCACTCGTCAACATGAGTTCATCGTATGAAGCTCTGATATGTATATACGATACGTCAGCTAAAACCATCAGCATGTGCTCACGAGTCGTTTGCTCTCCTCAAATCTGTAAAAGTTATCCTTGAAAAATAACGAGGAAAGTTGATGAAAATGGGCGTTAATTTTTTTATTGTTTTAGAATAATAAAATGAATACTTTCGTAAAATTATTAAATATTATGTTACATGTATGTTATTAATATACCATTTATATTTGCTTACAGTAACCATTTTACACTCTTTGATAAAATGAAGTAAGCTTGTGGGAAAAATAATCATGTAATAATAATGTAGGGTGGAGTGTATTGATTATTATAAAGTTTGGCACCATTTTTTTTTTACTTTTTTACCCCTAGCAAATCAATGCATATAATATTGAGAAATATAAAATGAATTTTTTTTTCCTTTTTAACTGTCAAGTTACCTCAGTTACTGGAATCTCAAACTGTTTCCTTTCACCAGGTTTCACAGATGGATACAGTCTGTGATAAAGATATATATCATTTCCCTGTGAAAAAAAAGAGGGAAAAAAGATAAATGTTCAACCACATTCCGCTGAATCTTTAGCAAGGTTTAAAAGTTACAGATTGAAAACACATACATGAGTAGGGATTGCATTTTGGTGTAGTGAATCTCAATGAGAAAATAAAGAAACATTGAAAATATACTCATCTTAATTATAAATAGATTCTCCTATTGTACTAAAATAGGGGGGGGTCCCGCATTAATATTGGGGTTCTAGGAAGCAGAATATGGGGTGAAGGCAATCCCTGCACAAGAGTGTCTGAATATTTGACATTAGTATAGTGGTGGAACCTACCTCGATACCGATATCGACGTCATATGTCTCTCGACCATTGGTGGATGCTGTAAAGAACAACGTGAATCTCAAATAACCACCATAAGCTGTTATCTAAAAAAATAGAGAACATATCAGTGACATAGTCCCAATTGTATTTGTTTATACATTCAAAGACACAAAAATTACTTCTAGTCTTTATGAAAAATGAAAGAACTAACCAGTTAAAATTTTGAAATCAAATCACAAACAAGCAGCCTGTCGGCTGAGATAGCTCCGCTGTTAGCAATGCACATGGCAATTAAAGAACAGAAGATATCATTAGAAAATGAACAAATCTGAGAGAGGTCCACATGTAGTACCTATATGTATAATATATCAAAGCAATTGGACTTGCGGTTTTCAACAAGAAGTCGAAAATATCACTTTTTACCAAAAATTACAAAAATATTCATCAAAATTAGAGAATTAAAGATATCATTATGAAATGAACAAATCTGAGAGAGGTCCACATGTAGTACCTATATATGTAATATCAAAGCAATTGGACTTGCGGTTTTCAACAAGAAGTCGAAAATATCACTTTTTACCAAAAATTACAAAAATATTCACCGAAATTAGAGAATTAAAGATATGATTACAA